GGGGGTCCCCCGGTCTCTTCCACTTCCCTTCTGGAAGTGGCCAACGCTTCTGGGCCGCCCGGGTGGACCTCAAAGAGAACGTCTTTAAATGTCCTGTGGCCAGGGGTTCTGTAACCGACTAGGAATCAGCGTCCGAATCGGAACAACTTCTCTAGACCTCTTTTCAGGGGGCGTCCAGTGAGTTTTTTTCAGCAAGGTGACTCCCCCTGTGACTGTCTGCTACTACAGCTGGAAAGGTCCGATCTGAAATGTGACTAATCTGGGTTTCTTCACCAAGCATGTGAGTTAGGGGTGGAGAACTAGAACCTAGAACCCTGAATTCGGAGCCTGGAACATAGGTAAGCTACATGCTATTGAGATCGTGGTCATGGGACACCCGCTAACACAAACCTTCTGGTAGGAAGTATTTGAGAAGACTGGGTCCAGTATCCGCAAGCTAAAATCCCACTAGCCCATCGCTGTGTTTGCTCAGAAAAGGAATCTGGGTTCTTTGGTTTCTGCTTTCCAGTTGACCCTGCTTGCTCCTCTGTTTCATGGCATTTTGGGAGTCAGTCTCCCAGAGCAGCGCTGATTGTAATGAGAAGCGCGTTCCCTCACTGGGGCACAGGAGCAGTGGGAGACAAATGGGCCTGGGAAAGAGCTCCTCCAGATAAAACTTAGTAGACAGATACGGGTTGTGGTGGTGGTGTTTTGGTCTTTATCCTGTTGTACAGCGCCTCATTTTTTACAATGTGGGCCAGTAACAGTTTCATATCACCTACTCGGACCACCTTCGGGGTTGTTATGAGGCTCAAAGGAACTGCTGCTGTCTGTGAAAAAAAACATGCTTTGCAATTTATGAAACACTGGATAAACATCAGGAACAGTATAAAAGCGTGCTGCTTCCTCAAGAAATACTAGTTGAGTGCCTGTGTGTTGGACACTGGCTAGAGATAAGGTAATGTGCAAAGCTGGCTCTGTCCCTGTCATCATGAGACTCCCATATAGTGGACCATGCATAACATTTTTAAATTATATATAATATGGCCGGGCACGGTGGTTCATGCCTGTAATCCCAGCACGTTGGGAGGCTGAGGAGGATGGATCGCCTGACGTCAGGAGTTTGAGACCAGCCTGGCCTAGTCTCAAACATGGTGAAACCTAGTCTCCACTAAAAATACAAAAATTAGCCAGGCGTAGTGGTGGGGGCCTGTAATCCCAGCTACTCTGGAGGCTGAGGCAGGAGAATCACTTGAACCCGGGAGGCGGAGGTTGCAGTGAGCTGAGATTGTGCCATTGCACTCCAGCCTGGGAGACAGAGCCAGACTCTGTCTGGAAAAAAAAAAAAAATTATATACAATATAATTTGCTTATTTAAAGTGTATGACTCAGTGCTTTTTAGTATATTTACAATGTTGTGCAAACATCACCATGATCACTTTTACAACATTTTAATCACACTGGTCTCAAAAAAACAATTCTCTTTAGTACTCAGTTCCCTCCCTCCCAAACCATCACTAGCCGATTGCAACCACTCATGTGTCTATGGATTTGCCCATTCTAGAGGTTTCGTATCAATGAAATCATACAATGTGTGATTGTTTGTGACTGACTTCTTTCACTTAGTGTAATGTTTTCAGAGTTTATCCGTGGAGTAGCATGGATCAGTTTTGATTCTTTTTTTAAGGCTGCATAATATCCCATTGTTTGGATATGCCACATTTTGTTTATCCATTCATCAGTTAATGGACATTTGGGTGTCCACTTTTTGGCTATTATGATTAATGCTACTGTGAACATGTGTGTACAAGTTTTTGTGTGGATGTGTGTTTTCATTTCTCTTGGATACATACCGAGGAGTGGAATTGATGAGTCATGGTGCCAATCTGTTTTCCAAAGTAACTGCACCATTTTACCTCCCAACCAGCAATGTATGAGGGTTCCAGTTTCTTCACATCCTCAGTAACACTAATTTTAATGTCTTTTTTATTACAGCCATTCTAGTGGGTATAATATCTCATTGTGGATTTGATCTGCATTTTCCTGATAGCTAGTGATAATGAGCATCTTTTCATGATTTTATCAGCTACCTGTTTATCTTCTTTGAAAAAAGATAACATTGTAGAAATGTCTGTTCAGATTCTTGGCCATTATTAAATCAAATTTTTGTCCATTTCTTATCAAGATGTAATAGTTTCTTGAATATTCTAGATACAAGTCCCTTAGGTGTAACATTTACTTCCTAATTGCTTTAACAGTCTATTGTGGGTTTTTTGTTTTTTGTTTTGGGACATAGTCTCGCTCTGTCACCCAGGCTGGAGTACAATGGGGCGATCTCAGCTCACTTCAACCTCCGCCTCCTGAGTTCAAGCGATTCTCCTGCCTCAGCCTCCCATGTAGCTGGGATTACAGGTGCCTGCCACCACACCCAGCTAATTTTGTATTTTTAATAGAGATGGAGTTTCACCATGTTGGCCAGGCTCATCTTGAACTCCTGACCTCAGGTGATCCACCGGCCTCAGCTTCCCAAAGTGCTGGGATTACAGGGGCGAGCCATAGCACCCAGCCCAGCATTGTCCTTTAGTTTATTCCATCTTCTACTTCCTTAAGACTTTCCCATTGGTTTGAAAGGAATTATGATTTAGCCACATAAACTAATAAAAAGAGGGCAAGCATGTTTTTGTAAATTTGTCATCCTGGGGCAATATCAATAGAATTTTTTTTGATAAAATGATTTCACTACTCCAGAAGCAGAATGTAAACTCTATACATAACCAACACATGGAATTAACGGGACTCATGGGTGTGTCCATAAAAGCAACTGAATTTTTAGTCTTCTGCTATCCCTTTAATAATCTATTCCATGAGGATAGTTCTTCCTCTTCCACAGAATGAAACTCAAGCAGTCCCGTAACTTGTTTATTCTCTCAGGTAATAGAAAATCCTGTTACTTTAAGAGAAAAACCCTGCTCTTAATTCAGTAATTAAAATGTTGTCCCCTTCCCCACCAGGGGCCTCCTGTGGGCAGAAGTGCGGACAAGGAGCTTTGTTCCTCCCCCATGTCACCCTCCCATGGCCCACTTGCTAGCCATGGTAAGGGGAAAGAGGGGTGGAGGCCGCAGGAAGGCATGTAGTGAACTGGACCTCTGGTGGAAAGGCATCACCCATGCTGGGCTTGGTGGGTATTTGAAAGTGACTCTTCCGTGAACACTGTTGTGAGCCCTCACTGGGAATGTTTGGCCATGCTTCCTGACACTGGCAATGAATTTTCTCCAGCTGCTTATTCTACCCCAACCTTGGTTTTCCTTCTGTCCCCCCCACACAGACTCTCAGCATCAGGGTCCTGTCAACCCTTCAGTGAGACTTTTTCAGAAGAATCCCTTTTAAAATGACCTGAAGCTGACCTTCCTGCTGCGGATTCCACATATGGTATCTGAGACTCACACAGTGTGGTTGGAAGATAGCACAGTGACCTCCCAGGCACAGCCCTCTGCCAACCCTCTACTGGCTGCCCTAGGATGCTGGCCTTCCTCCGATGGGAGTCAGGCCCAGTCTGCTGTTGGCCAGGAGCAGCCAGCAAGCTCCCTGGGAGGCCTGGAGAAGCCCTTCTCACTCAGCTTGGTGTTCGATGCCAGTGGCCCCGCCCATTGTGGGGTGAGGGTGGGACTCTCAGCACAGCCCTGTCCAAATAAATTCTCAAAAGCCCTCCTCCATTTGCAGTCACTTGAGTCTTTTGTAGCCTGTGTGACTGAGCATCTAAGCTGTCCTCAGCTATTTACTTTGAAATTTCGTAAGTGATTTTGGTAGCTGTCATTTCTTGATGCATCAGTCACAACTTCCCTTCTAACATCCCATTAAGTAACATCTAAAACAGAACAAAAACATTGTGCCAACTTCTTCCAAGAAGAATTTAATGTCACTTCCTAAGTTAAGCAGTTGGGCCCTGTCCCATGACTGTTCATCTCTGCTCAATAGTCATCAGGATCTGAGAAAGCAGAAAGGAGCCCTGGGGGCCTAAGCTGTGTGTTTGTGTGTGTGTGTGTGTGTGTGTGTGTGTGATTTTGAGGAACATTCTCCATTCTGTTTTTCATTAATATCTAAAGGGAAATTCTATTAAATCAATTCCAAGACCAAAAATCGTGGACATTTGCGTGCTTTTTAAAGACTCTAAAAACAAGTGGAACGTATAGATAAACTATATTCTTTCCCAACTTTTTGATATATAGTACAGTTGTTCCTGAATTGAAAGCCTAATGATTAATACATTTTTTTGTATTATCTTACCTGCTAGGGAAAAAAAAATTGCCATGATGCGAAAAAGATGCAACAGGCACTGTGGGGTATAGCGTGTAACGGTCTTCTGTCCATGAAATACTGTGGTTTATATGCAGGATTAGCCATTTATATGCAGGATTAGCCCAGTGGTAGAAACCTCAGTCCAGCCAGTCTGGAGACTAGTAAACAAAAAAGAGACTTTTCTGCTTCTAACAGACATAGGCAAGTGGTAATTTCTCACCAAATTAAAAATCACACTGGTCTTTGATTAGCTAGAGAGATTGTCTTAAAATGCTTATCTGACTGTGTCCCCCTCCCCCAGCTCAAAAATCCGTAAAGCTTTTCCATTACTTTTTGAATTAACAAAAATGAGGTCCACAAAACCCAGAGAGTGTTGTCCCTACCTTTCTCTCAAGCTGATTCCCTGTCTCCCTCGTCCTGTACTGCCCCCGCCCGCCTTGTGATCCGGGCCATATGGATTCAATGCCTCCTCCATTCTCCCCTCTCTCTCTCCTTTGTTAAGTTAGCTTTTCAGATTTTGGTTCAAATGTCACTTCCTTGACCAAACTTGCCCTCCCCCCCCAGGCCAGATCAAGTCTCTCTATTCTAGACTACTAAACTTTTTGAACATTTAAGTGTTTCTATTTATATATTTATATAATTTATTATTATCTATATTAGGGCCCTGAAAAGAAACAGATCAACTCAGAAGATTCAATTAAGAGAACTTAATGAAGAAACAAAAACCAGAGGTGCTGAGGCACTCAGGAACTAGCAAGAGCAGGAAACCTTTACAACTCCTTGGTTCAAAGGGTTGGAAGGGAGCATCACCTCGATTCCCCACCCCAGGGATGGAGCACTCATCTACTAGCAGTTGGAAGTGCGGGGTCCAACAGGTCTCAACCAGATTCCTCCCTGGGACCTGTCCTTGCCTAACGGGAACTTCCTCACCCAAAAGCATATCCCCTTTCCCTGGGGCAGCCTCATGCAATGACTGGTCTATGCAGAGGTATGAAGATCCAGTTCACGTGCCCCAAATTGGGACAACTAACTGCAGGGCCATCCTAGCCCACTCTGCCCAATCCTGATCCTCTCACTCGCCCACCCCAAGTGGTCATCCCATGAACACTCCCAAGCTAACCTCCTAAGGGCACAGTATCAGGGACTGCTTTGCACAGAACCTACCTGGAGAAAGGGCCAAGGTGAAGAAAGTGTCACCCAAGCCTTGTAAGGGCTTCCACTTTGGGCAAGCAGTGAATAGGGAAGACAGATCTCTGCCTCTCCCACTTCTCTGTCTCCTGCCTGGATCTTCTATTGGTGGAAGCCATTGGGTAATATAACCCACAGGGATCAGCCTTCTGGGTAAAACACAGCAGAAGATAGATAATAGTGGGGAGAAGAGGGCAGAGACAAAATTTCCCCTTAGTAATCTGCCAGTACATACAGTGGCAAAAGAAGCCCCAAGTAACTAAGAGTCTTAGCTTCCAATTTAATAGAACTATAACTATTGATGTAGTTTGGATGTGTGTCCCTGCCCAAATCCCTTGTTGACACGTAATCCCTAATGTTGGAGGTTGGACTTGGTGGGAAGTGATTGGATCATGAGGGCAGATATCTCATGAATAGTTTAGTATCATTCCTGTGGTACTATCCTGGCAACAGTGAGTGAATTCTCACAAGATCTGGTTATTTAAACGTGTGTGGCACCTTGTGCCCTAACTCTTGCTCCTGCTCTGGCCTTGTGATGTGCCTGCTGCTCCCTTCACCTTCCACCATGATTGTAAGCTTCCTGAGGCCTCCCCAGGAGCTGAGCCCAGTATCAGGCTTATTACACAACTTGCAGAACCAAGAGCCAGTTAAAACTCTTTCTTTATAAATTATCTAGTCTCAGGTATTTATAGCCACATGAGAGCATCCTAACACAGCTATGTTCTCTAGTAGAAGGCTAGTTCCTTCTTTGTTAACAAGGACTTCCAATCAAAAGCCAGCTGGCAAGGGAACCTGAGGAATGCTGCATAAATCAGCCTTTTCAGACATGAAAGTATGGAGGAAGAGGAGGAAGACAGCATGTATTAGTTTGGTGCAAACGTAATTGCAGTTTTTGCATTATTTAAATTTGCCATTTGATATTGGAATACATTCTTAAATGTGGTTATGTTATACATCATTTTAATGCACATTTTACACTTTGTGTGGTTTTTTTTTTTGCTAATGACTTATTACTTGCTATTTATTTTATATTTATTTTAGACTATGGAAATGATAATTAGACAAAAAGCAAATTCAACTCACAACATCAACAATGCATTTGGCCCAGGAACTGCTAACAATCATTCAGTGCAGTCATGGTTCAAAACATTTTGCAAAGCAGATGAGAGCCTTGAAGATAAGGAGCATAGTGGCCAGCCATCAGAAGTTGACAATGACCAATTGAGAACAATCATCCTAGCTGAACCTCTTACAACTTGCAAAGAATTCAACGTCGGCCATTCTACAGGCATTTGGCATTTGAAGCAAATTGGAAAGGTGAAAAAGCTCGGTAAGTGGGTGCCTCATGACCTGAGCAAAAATTTTTTTTTTTTTTTGAGACGGAGTCTCGCTCTGTCGTCAGGCTGGAGTGCAGTGGTGCAACCTTGGCCCACTGCAACCTCCACCTTCTGGGTTCAAGCGATTTTCCTGCCTCAGCCTCCCAAGTAGCTAGGACTACAGACACGTGCCACCACACCCAGCTAATTTTTTGTATTCTTAGTAGAGATGAGGTTTCACCATGTTGGACAGGATGGTCTTGATCTCTTGACCTTGTGATCCACCCGCTTCAGCCTCCCAAAGTGCTGGGATTGCAGGCGTGAGCCACCGCGCCTGGCCCCAAAGCACAGATTGTTATGCTATAGGAATAAACAAACATTTCTTGTTGGCAAAAAATGTGTTGATTGTAATGGTTGCTATTTTAATTAATAAAGATGTGTTTGAGCCTAGTAATAAATTATTTAAAATTCACGGTCTAAAACTGCAATCACTTTTGCACCAACCTAACAGGAAATAACCAGCACCCTACTGTGCTATTGTATTAGTCCATTCTCATGCTGCTATGAAGAAATACCCAAGACTGGATGATTTATAAAGGAAAGGGCTGTGAGACTGACCCTACACCAATTCGTTAGCTTGTCTGGGCCTCCATTTCCTCATGATGAAAAGCATAAAGTTTTCTCCTCTACCTATACATTAATTTCTGTTTTGCTTTTTTTTTTCTTTTAGCTGTCAGAAGCATGGGCATCCTACCTATACATTTAGCTGTGCTCATACATTCATCATTACTTCCTTCCTCCATCCTAAAGCAGAATGCAATTCTATCCAAGATGTTCTTGGCACCTGGGCTTAGGAGTCCATCTGTTCCTGCACCCTCCACAACCTTTCACCAAGTATTACCTTCTGTTTTTGCATCTTCACCTTTTCTTTCTCCATTTGCCACTCAATATTTAAAATACACTCAAGCCTTTCTCATTGAAAGATTAAAACCCTTCTCTTCATTTTGGTTTCCTGAGTAGCTAGCCACAACCCTTTCTCCCTCTGCTTCATGGTCAAGCTTCTAGATTACCCTGCATTGAAAGTTTTCAGGTGCACAACCATCCACTGCCATCTGCTTTCTCACCCATCCTTGCTTTGAAATGGTTCTGCTGCTGTCTCTGGCACCTTCCTGTTTGCTTTGGTCCTTGGATGTCAGCTTCATTCCCACTTTCTTGAAACTTTGTTCCCAGGTGTCTGCCATGTTCTTCTTATTACCCACTCTATATCACACTTTCTAAGCTTTCGGGACTGAAGGCTATGAACACATTCTCCAAAAATGTGGCCTTTATTTTTTCTGTACCTCTAAAGTCAACACATTGATGAACCTCAGTTCATCCAGACAACCTGAGCAACTCAGACATGCCTATGACTTAATAGCCAAAAATCTCTAACTTCAAGCAAGGTTCATATCTCAGTTCTTACCACCTACCAGCTGTGTGGGCTTGGGAAAAGTAGTTTACCACTCATATTTCAGTTCATCTGTGAAATGGAGATTGTAATGAGATAACCCTGACATGGTTGCCAGGGTCTCATGAGTTATAACATGTAAAGTGCTTAGATATCACTTGTTACATAATTGTTATATCACTAGATACCTTCCTCTTCCCCTTTCTCTCCCCCTTCCCTCTTACCCCTTCTCTCTTTGTCTCTTTCTCTCTGTCCCCAAGTCAATATATTCAACTAATAAAGTACATTTCAACATGAACCTCCAACATATATGTCCAAAATTGAGCTCTATCTACTCCACTACCCTTCCTTCTGCATTTCTTATACATGAACTGATCTTCACAGCATGCCAGAGTCCTCCATGCAGAAGGACAGCCTACATCCTTGGGATAGAGTTATTCAATTGGTTACAAATCAGCCACCCA